CCACCCCTGACCGCCCAGCAACCCCAAAGACCCCCAGGTACCCATCCCCAACCCCCCAGGTATCCCAAAGACCCCCCAGGTACCTCCAGGTACCCGCCCCTGACCCCCCAGGTACCCCACAGACCCCCCAGGTACTTAAAGTCCCCAAGTATTTGGGGTGGTGGTACCTGAGGTCCCCAAGGATGAGGTGGTGGCACCTGAGGTCCCCAAGGATTTGGGATGGTGACACCTGAGTTGCCCAAGGATGAGGTGATGGCACCTGAGGTCCCCAAGGATTGAGGGTGGTGGTACCTGAGGTCCCCAAGGATGAGGTGGTGGCACCTGATGTCCCCAAATATTTGGGGTGGTGGCACCTGAGGTCCCCAAATATTTGGGGTGGTGGCACCTGAGGTCCTCAGGAATGAGGTGGTGTCACCTGAGTTGCCCAAGGATGAGGGGGTGACATCTGAGGTCCCCAAGGATTGGAGGGTGTGTGCTGGCACCCAAATAGTCACGTGGGACGCTGGTTCCAGGGTGCCAGCGCTCCCCTCCCGGGTCTGACGTCCCTCCCTGTCCCCGTCCCCACAGGTCGTCACCCGCCTCATCCACCTGCTGAGCCAGAAGATCCTGGGGAACCTCCAGCAGCTCCGAGCGCCCTTCGCGAGTGCGTCCCACGTTGGGTGGGGTGTGTGGGGACACCGGGGTGGCCTCCCCCGGGGTCACCCCAGCACGGGGGTGACCTGTGTGTTATCCCCACAGGCTCTGGCCTGGGCGTGGCCTCCAGCTCGGAGCCCATCAACCCCACCAGCAACCTGTCGACGGTGGCGGTGCTGCCGGTGTGCCAGGAGGTGCCCACGACCGCCTTCACGCTGGAGCTGCAGCACGCGCTCACCGACGTCGGTGAGGGGCGCCGGGGACGCCGGCACGGGGAGCCGCGGTGGCCTGGGTGGGGGTGGGGGGGGGTGGGTGAAGATCCCGTGGTGTGGTGGGAGTCACGGTGTGGTGATCACGGGGTGGGGGTGATCATGGGGTGGGGGTGACAACAGCTCCATGGCATGGTCATGACCACAGGGTGGGGGTGATCACCGGGTGGGGGTGACCACAGCATGGAGGTGACCACAGCCCCATGGCATGATGGTGACCATGCCATGATGATGATGGTGACCATGTCACGGTGACCACAACGCCATGACGTGATGGTGACCGTGCCATGATGATGGTGACCATGTTCTGGAGATGACCACAGCCCCGTGGCACCATGGTGACCATGCCGTGATGACCACAGCCCCATGGTGTGATGGTGACCATGCCATGATGATGATGGTGACCATGTCACGATGACCACAGCCCCTTGGCATGATGGTGACCATGTCATGATGATGATGGTGACCATGTTCTGGAGATGACCACACCCCCGTGGGCACAATGCCAACCTTGTCACAGTGACCACAGCCCCTTGTCACGGCACTGACCACGTGTGTGTCCCCTCTCCTCCCCCAGGCCCCACGCTGCTCCTCACCAGCGACATCATCCGCGCCCGCCTGGGCTCCTCGGCGCTGGACAGGTAACTCCCGTGGGGAGGTTCATATCCCCCCCTGTCCCCTCTGTCCCCCCACACCCCCTGGCTGACCCCCTGGGTCCCGGCAGCATCCAGGAGTACCGGCTGTCGGGCTGGCTGGCGCAGCAGGAGGACATCCACCGCATCGTCCTCTACCAGACCGACTGCACCCTCACCACCTGGACCCTGCGCTGCTTCCGCCAGGCCGACTGCATCCTCATCGTGGGGCTGGGGGACCAGGAGCCCGAGCTGGGGGAGGTCAGATGGGGGTTTGGGATGGGTTGGGGTGGCATTTTGGGGGGCGCCGGCACCGGCTCGGCGCTGGTGGGGCCGTGCCTCGAGCGCTGTGCCCGGTTTTAGGGAGGGTGGAGAAGGGTTTGGAACCGGGGAAGGGGCTGGAGCAGCAGGAGGGGCTGAGGGAGCTGTGGTGGGGGGCTCAACCTGGAGAAGGGGAGGCTCAGGGGGGACCTTCTCACTCTCTGCAACTCCCTGAGGAGGGGTTTGGAGCCAGGGGGGTGTCGGGCTCTGCTCCCGGCAGAAGGATGAGGAGAGGACACGGCCTTAAACTCCATCAGGGAAGGGGTCAGGTGGGACATTGGGAGGAAGTTCTTGACGGGAAGGGTGGTTGGACACTGGAAGGGGCTGCCCAGGGAGGTTCTGGAGTCCCTGGGTCTCTCTAAGGAGATACTGGATGTGGCACTCGGTGCCGTGTGACGAGGTGAGGTTGTGTCGTGGTCTGATCCGGCCCCTGCTTCTCCTTCTCAGTTTTTGCCCACGTTCCCCACCGAAAATGTCATGGGTTTACTCTTGGGTTAATTTTTCCTCTTGCCCTCCACGTGATTGCTACGAGTTGAGAGAAGGTTTGTGCAGACAAGAGAGATCTGATGTGGGGAGAATGATATTAGGATCACAGATGGGACTGGATGATCCCAGAGGTCTTTCCCAGCCTGGTTGATTCTGTGACTCAACAGCACGATCCTGTTAAGCCAGAATTCTTTTTATTCCACGTGGGGAGTGGTGTTGGGGGAAATTCTTCCACAAACACCCACAGAGACAAAGATTTCATGAGCTTTTATACACTTGGACATCCCAAACCCCTCCCCAACAGTCAATCATCCTATTATTAACAAGGCATCGACATCAGTCCTTAGTTAAAGATGACCCAAACTTCTTCTCCCCAAACAATCCTAGAAATAATTTCATCTTAGCGTTCCACCACAATCAGTCTTCAGCTAAAGGCCACCCCAACTTCTTCTACCCAAATAATCCCAGAAATAGAATCACAGAATCATAGAATTAACTGGGTTGGAAGAGACCTCCCAGATCATCAAGTCCAGCCCTTGATCCAACCCCACTGTGATTACCAGATCATGGCACTCGGTGCCACATCCAGCCTCATCTTAAAATAGTTTCACCTCAGTATTACATCACGATCAATCTTCAGCTAAAGGGCCACCTAAACTTCCCCTACCCAAACAATGCTTGATTGATTTAGTTTTCTCTCCCTGATGAACGACCCTTTGTCAGTGGAGCTCTTGGGGGGGGAGGGGGATCCAGGTCAGTGTTTTGCTGCTCCTTCCAGCTCTTTGTTCCCCCCCCCAAGGACCATCCAGGTGACAAATCCGCGGTGTCGATGCGGTAACGGTGAACCCCCCCCCCGAATTCTCGGGGTGATTCTCGGGGTGATTCTCGGGGTGATTCTCGGGGTGTGGCTGTGCCTGGCAGCGATGTGTCCCCTCTCCACAGCTGGAGCAGATGCTGGAGAACACGGCAGTGCGGGCGCTGAAGCAGCTGGTGCTGCTGCACCGCGAGGACGGGCCCAGCCCGGCGCGCACCGTCGAGTGGCTCAACATGCGCAGCTGGTGCTCGGGGCACCTGCACATCCGCTGCCCCCGCCGCGTCTTCTCCCGCCGCAGCCCCGCCAAGCTGGTGCGTCTGGGGGGTGTCCCCTTCCCCCCCGGGGTGGCCCTGGTGACCTGCCGTGGGTCATTGTCAGCTGCTGTCTGTCCCCAGCCCTTGGTGGCCCTGGTGACCTGCCATGGGTCACTGTCAGCTGCTGTCTGTCCCCAGCCCTTGGTGGCCCTGGTGACCTGCCATGGGTGTTGTCAGCTGCTGTCTGTCCCCAGCCCTTGGTGGCCCTGGTGACCTGCCATGGGTGTTGTCAGCTGCTGTCTGTCCCCAGCCCTTAGTGGCCCTGGTGACCTGTCGTGGGTCATTGTCGGCCACTGTCCATCCCCCGGCCCCAACTTCCATGGTCATTGTCAACTGCTGTCTGTCCTCAGCCCTTGGTGGCCTTGGTGACCTGCCATGGTCATCGTCAGCCACTGTCCATCCCCAGCCCCAGGTGGCCTTGGTGGTCTTTCCATGGTCATCATCAACTGTCCGTGCCCAACCCGCTGTGACCTTGGTGACCTGCCATGGTCATCATCACCCACTGTCCCTCCCCACCCCCTGGTGGCCTTGGTGACCTGCCATGGTCATCATCACCAGGTGACCTCAGTGGTCTTCCACGGTCACCGTCACCCACTGTCCATCCCCAGGCCCTGATGACCTCAGTGGTCTTCCTTGGTCACCACCCCCTGTCCATCCCCAACCCCCTGGTGACCTTGGTGGTCTTTCCACGGTCACCATCACCCCCTGTCCATCCCCAACCCCCTGGTGGCCTCGGTGACCTGCCATGGTCATTGTCAACCACTGTCCATCCCCACCCCCTGATGACCTTGGTGACCTACCGTGGTCATCATCACCGGGTGACCTCGGTGGTCTTCCACGGCCACCGCCACCCACCGGGTGTCCCCCCCCCGGCAGCGGGAGATGTACGAGAAGGTGTTTGAGAAGGAGCCCGACCGCCACAGCGACTTCTCCCGCCTGGCGCGGGTCCTCACCGGCAACACCATCGCCCTGGTGCTGGGCGGCGGCGGGGCCAGGTGGGTGCTGGACACGGTGGAGGGTCCTGGGCTCGTCCATCCTGGTTTTCCTCGTCTGTCTGTCTGTCTGTCTGTCTGTCTGTCTGTCCAGGGGCTGCTCCCACATCGGGGTGATGGAGGAGTTGGAGATCCCCATTGACCTGGCGGGGTGGGGGGTCCTGGGCTCATCCATCCTCTTCTTGGTTTTCCCAATCCATCCATCCAGGGGGCTCCTCCCACATCAGGGTGATGGATAATCCCACATCAGGGATCCCCACTGATCAGGTGGTGGGGTGGGAGGTCCTGAGCTCATCCCTCTTGGTTTTTCATGTCCATCCATCCAGGGGCTGCTCCCACATCAGGGGATGGAGGAGTTGGGGGATCCTCATCAACCTGGTGGGGTGGGAGGTCCTGAGCTCATCCCTCTTGGTTTTCCCAATCCATCCATCCAGGGGCTGCTCCCACACTGGGGTGATGGATGCTCCCCCATTAAGGATCCTCATCCACCTGACGGGGTGGGGGTTCCTGAGCTCATCCCCTCTTGTTTTTCCCAATCCATCCGTGCAGGGGCTGCTCCCACATCGGGGTGATCAAGGCCATGGAGGAGTCGGGGATCCCCATCGACATGGTGGGCGGCACCTCCATCGGCGCCTTCATCGGCGCTCTCTACGCCGAGGAGCGCAGCGCCGTGCGCACCATGCAGCGGGCACGGGAGTGGGCCAAGGTGGGTGCTGGGGGGCCTCCCCCACCCTGGACAGGGCCCCCCACCCATGGCCAGCCTTGCCTGGGTTGTTTCTAAACCATCTTCTTCTTCTCCTCCTCTTTCTCCTCCTCCTCCTTCTTCTCCTCCTCCTCCTTCTTCTCCTCCTCCTCCTTCTCCTCCTCCTCCTTCTCCTCTTCCT